CAAAAAGACTAGAAATGACAAGTGTCGGCAAGGATGTGTAGAAAAAGGAGCTCTCTTACATCGCCGGTGGGAATGTTGTCTGGTCCTCCCCTTATGGGACCAGACACTTCTTGTGTCCTATCAAAATGTAAACACCCCTGGGAGAAATGACCAATTTGGCCTTCAGTGATCAACCCTGTGAAAGGCAGAATTATTTTTAAAAGTCATGAAAAAAGAAAAGCAACTTGTATGTAGATTTCTCCAAATATTAAAAATGGATCTACCCTGTGACTCAGCAAATCCACCCCTAAGTACCTTCTTGAAGAATACAGAAACACTAATTTGAAAGAAAATATGCACTCTTATGTTCACTGTAGCACTACTTAACAATAGCCAAGATATGAATGTACCCAAAGACAGATGAGTGGATTAGGAAGACATGGCAGATATACACAATGGAATACTACTCAGCTATTAAAAATATAAACTTTTGCCATTTGCAGAGACATGGAGAGAACTCTATGGGGTTAAGAGGAGTAAGTCATAAGGAGAAAGACAAATACTGGACAGTGTCACACGTATGAATAGAGAAACAAAACAAAGGGAAATATAAAGCCAAACCAATAGCATATCCTAGAAATATGACTGTAGAACGGAGTCTCCCAAAGCCAGAATGGGAGGGAAGAGGCAAGGACAAAGTAGGAAGGGAACTCAAAGGACTGTGGCGGAGGACTATGGTACTTTAGTGGTGGGAATGGCGCGTTAACAACACCTAAAGTAGGAGATTGTATACCTCTAAAACAAATATAATGAACTGCTATTATTACCTCAGTTATAAAAAACATTAAGTAGATTTCTAAACTAGTAAATCCAAATTGCATTCCCAAAAAGAATGTAATATAAGGCTGGGGCATATCATGCATTCAGTTATCTAAGCCATTTCCAGAACTCATAATTTAAGCAAAACTTTGGAAAACTTTCTGAAATATTAAGACAGTTTATCCCATTAAATGTATTAAACCTTAAGTGTTAAGGTTCAACAGTTCTATGATTACAGCTTCCCCCTCCCCCACATTCATCCTCAGATAGCAATGATTTGCATAAGAGGAACCTTTTGATTTTAATATGTTTTTCCTGGATAGCTTTGCATAATTTTTATGTGATTTCCTTGATGAACCCACTAAAACTATTTTCCATCCAGAGTTTTGCATATTCTGCATAAAAAGGAAACACTGAGGAAGAACCATTCAGCAAGATCACAGAAACCATGTGTTGGGAGCTGCCTGTCAGCAAATGCTGCTCGAGATTCTGTAAATATCAGGACAAATCTTGCAGATAAGGGCAAAATAAATGGCTTTAGCAAAATTTTCTATAGGCTGCATATTTCTTGTGGGGTCATTGTTACTTCTAAAGAACCCAACTAGAATTACAATTTTGGAATACCACTTTCTATGTACCTGCATACTTCTTGTCTTTCTATCGAGATTCCCCTAAAATATACCTCTCCGTGAATGCTTGCTGCTTTAATTGAGCACTATTGATTTCAGGGACCTCACGGCATTGGATAATGGGATGTTAGCAGAGCAGCCTAGCTTCCATTGCTGCAAAGTAACCCTACAACTTCTTGGCTAATACAACCACCTTCTTTAACTCATCATAGATCAGGAATTTTGGAAAGGATTAGGATTGCAGTTCTCATAAGCTTACAGTCATCTAAAGCCTCAGTTGGGCCATATATCCAAGGTGGCTCCCTCCCATGGTTGCCCATTAATGCTGTCAAGCTTTTGACCCAGACACCTGGAACAGGACTCATCATGCTGTCTGTGCGTCCTCACTATACGGCAAATTCTTACAAGGATGGCCAAGGCCGGAAAGATGAGTGCTCCAACAGGTAAGTTGGTAGCTCGATTGTATTATTTTAATGACCTAGCTTTGGGTATTGTGCTATGGCCTTTCCATCACATTTTATTGGTTACACGTAAGTTGTAACCAAGTCCATTCTGAATCAAGAGGCGGGACACACAATACCTCACCTCCTGATAAGATGTCAAGGTCACATTGTGGAGGAGCACGTGGTATGCAAGATATTATTGGGGCCATATTTGGAAAATATAATCTGCTACACAAGGTTAGTAAAAATAGAATGCTTGAAGTCACTGAATTCAAGGTAAAGTATAGAGGTCACCAGACCGTGGAGGCAGAAGCTGCACAATGTTTACATTTATGTATTCACAAGAGCAAAAGGGATCCAAGAAAACAGTGAGAATTTAATCAAGTCTAGTTAAAATGTCAGTAAGGCCACACACTGCGTTCTATACCCCAGGTAACCTTGCTAACAGCACTCTTATGGCAATGTACCATTTCACAGTTTAAGCAGTTCCCTCCTATGTGTGCAGGGATTACTCTAGACCTTTGGTGCCAATCAGTAACTGTGACAAAATGCCCAATGCTCAAGGAGCGTATATTCTAGTGGAGTAACATTAAAATAACCACACTGCTTGTGATGCTGGTGAATTCACTAAATGACAATTAACTGAAAGCACATGGTCTAAATAGCTAGCTCTACCCTGAAGGATGTTCTGGGCTGTTTCTCCAGGTGAGTGTGCAACAAAGTGATGAGGCCTATGTGAAAGAATTTTACAGGTGAAAGGGATCATTTGTACTGTGAGTTTAAGAGGGTTTCTGGATACCATAACCTCTTCTCCCAATTCACTGTTTGACATTCGTCTTGCGATCTTTGCTCTACATGTTGGCTGAGGTACAGAAGAAAGCCCAGGCGTGCCCAAGACTTGACCCTGCCCTCTCGACACACCTTTTGCCATATAGCTTTCGAGTTCCATAAATACACCCTCTTTCTACATGCATTTTGCCAATAGAATCACATTCTTGTCTAAAAGTATCAGTTTTGAGAATAGACCTAAGGACCCATTGCATATGGCTGTTCTTCCACCACAGCCAAGCAAGCACACTGGGATTAGCCCACTAAGGATGAGACCCGGGGGCCAGAGCCCAGTCCCCCCAAGCAACAGCTCACCCACCCCAAGACACATGAATGAGCCCAGCCAAGATCCTAGATGTGTGAACAATAAACCTACAATTACATCCTGCAAGGTTTGGGGGGATAACTTGTTATGCAGCATTTTGAGGCAACAATAGGCTGACCCAATGGAGAAAAGGTAGTGCTCCTTCTCTTGGAGACCTACTTACCATTCTGTTTGGAAGTCGGTCACACAGGTCCTCGTTGGTGGCACTGGGGCTGTGGGGAAAGATATCAGTCAGGCGTCAGCAGAGTTGCTTCTAGAGCCACAACATGGGCATGGTGCACAGGAAAGAAATAGAAAAGTGGCTTTTCTGAGTGTGAAAGTCTGCATTTATGTCTCCTCATCTAAACAGACAATAATCACTCCCAGTGCCTACGACCGAAAGATGAGGAAGATGTCCCAAATGGAAAACAAACATTCCATTTTGCTCCTTTGCTACCCTCGACCCATCCAATTCCCCGCTTGAAAGTGAACTTAGCTTTTTCATTATTATGAAAACGAAACCTGTTTGGGCAGCATGATGGGAGAAAGATGGCCATACAACTAGGTCCTGCCAAAAAAGTGAGCTCCTTTTCCAAAATGCACCAAACCAGGACAGAGGGGCAGACCACTCACCGTCGTCTTCCAAATCATTGTGACAAGGACGAAACACTTTTGCGGAAGAAAATTGCCTCCCAGCAAAACTGGCCTTCCACATTAAGTCGCTTCCCCACACACTGAGAATATTTCCCACCAGTCACTTACTCTTTTGTGTCTTGTACAGGCCCTATCAAAATGTGAATACCCCGGGAGAGGTGACCTATTTGGCCTTGAGTGGTCAACCCTGTGGGAGAGGCAGAATTATTTTGAAACAGCCCAGCAAAAGAAAGGCAACTAGTCTGTGCAACTGCTCGTGTTCTGTCTTTCCCGCTGGATTGTACATTCCAAGAAGTCGAGAAACACGTCTATTTTTTTTCACCCGTCTATTTACAGAGCCCAGGGCATCTATTCTGTGGAAGGAAAGCTGAAGCCGCCAGGGAAGGAAGAGTGAAGAGCAGCTGGCGAACAACAAAACACCTCACTAAAATTCTACGCGGTTACCCTCGAAGTACCTATTGGAGCTAACAGGTTTCAACATATTTTTAGGGCCTTTCTATGCCTACATGGGGTGAAGTGTTCTCTAGGATAGGAGAATGACACCCCCACCCCCATTCCTTACCTTAACCAGGCGTGGCTCTTCGAAGTTTTACTCCTGTGACAGGCCAGGCCAAGAGAAAGTTCCCCTAGGGGGCATCTCTCAGTTTTAGTGCAGGCGACGCCGACCTACTCAACCCTTCTTTGGATTCCAACGCTCAGAAAGAACTCCAAAGTGTCAAGAAGAGGAAAAGCAAGTTTCTCGCAATGGCGCTCCGAATTCTAGCCTAGCTCAGTGGCGTTTTAACCTTTATGGTGCATGCGAATCACCTGGGGATCTTGCTAATTATGCAGATTTTTTGATTCAAAAGGTCTGGGGCGAAGACTGGGCAGCTGCCCGGGCTGCCAGGGCAGGTTGTTCCTGCAGACTCGAGGACCGCGCTTTGGAGCCCGCGGAGCACTCGAGGTCATCACCTCCAGCGCCAGGTGCCCGCCGGCCCAGCCTCCGCGTTCCGGATCGGTGTCCCACTCGTCCCTGGCCTGCCGCCGGGAGGGGAGGAGCCGGGGGCGGAGCGGGAGGAGTGGCGCGGGCCCCGCGTGGGTCCTGCCGAGATCACCTCGCCCCGGGGAGACGCGGCCGAGCTGCGGCGGCGCAGGAGGGGGCGGGTTCGGCGAGGGCGCGGCCTCTGCGAGGGGGGCGGACGTCGCCCATCCCCCGCGCTCGCCCGGGCCACTCGGGAGCCTCGCGCCAGCCCGGTGCCCCACTTGGCAATCCGCTCCCCGCTTCTTCCTCGCGCCCGCCTCCTCTTGTCACCTCCCGTCTCAGTCGCCGCGCTCCATCCCCGCCGCAGCCGCCGCCGGCCGAGCGCTTCAGACAGCGGGAAGTGGCGCGCGGGCTGCAGGGCGCGCCCTCCAGCGGACCCCGGACTCGCTTTGGGGGGCACGAGCGGCAGCATGGACACCAAGCGCTGCTTCGCCAACCGCTTCGATGACTACCAAGGCAGCCTGCTGGTGGGCCAGTGCGAGGAGGCGGTGGCGCCCTTGGTCAGCGCCACCATCGAGCGCATCCTCCAGGAGCTGCCCCCGCTCGGGGGCGGCTCCGAGGCCCGGGGGGCGGCGGCCGCGGCCAGCAGCTGCCAGGGAGGGCTGTACGGCGGCGTGGCCGGGGTGGCCTATATGCTCTACCACGTCTCGCAGAGCCCGCTCTTTGCCGCGGCCCGGGAGCGCTACCTGCGCTCGGCCAAGCGCCTCATAGACGCGTGCGCCCGCGCGGAGGAGTGGGGCGAGCCGGACGCCGACACCCGCGCCGCTTTCCTGCTCGGGGGCGCGGGCGTGTACGCAGTGGCCACGCTCGTGTACCACGCCCTGGGCCGGTCCGACTACGTGCAGCCGCTGGGCAAGTTCCGGGCTCTGTGCGCCGTCTGCGCGCCCGTCTCCTTCCTGGAGTGCGGCTCCGACGAGCTGTTCGTGGGCCGCGCGGGCTACCTGTGCGCCGCGCTGGTGCTCAAGCAGAAGCTCGCCCAGGAGGTAAGGCAGCCCCGGCCGCGCGGGGGCGCTCGCAACCTTCCCGGCCCTGCCCCCGGCGCCCTCCCGGGACTCGGGGTCCCGGCGCGTTGCCCCAGGCCAGTCTCCCTCTCTGCGTTACTCTCCGAGTGGCGCTCTCCTTCCCACAGTCTCTTGAGGTGCATCTCTCGCTTTGGTCCGTCTCCCCACCCCCTCTTTTCAGTCTTCTCATTTGTTGGGATTTCGCTGCTTTGCGCTTTGTTCGTGTTCCTCGTGGAACGGTGCCGTCTCTCCAGATGCCACTTTGTCCAGTTGCCTTCCAGAGGCTGAGAGTGTGGCCCTTGCAAGGGAGATAAAACGACTTGAAAAATAAAAGGGATTTCCCTTCCTTTGACGCTCCCGTCAAAAGCTAAAGCCCTCTCAAATGATTAGTCTATGAGAAAAGTAATGGGAGTTTTTTTGGGGGGCGGGAGGGATGGCTGGTTATATTTATCCTTGTTGCCATCGCTAATGTGGAGGTAAGTTGCTTCTGCTCCCCTGGGTCTATAGGTAACTCCAAAGAACTTGCTCTCCCGCCTGTCTCTGGGGCTTACCATGTTGCTTACAATTCCGTACACGATGATGGATGATGACTCTTATAAAATGCATATCTGCTGGGCATCGCTTTTTAAATGCATAAATGTAGATAGAACTATACCCCGTTGTGGCCGGATGTGCATTTTTCATTTCAAATGTGTAAGTAGGATTGTCAAGACCACAACATACTGGACAGGCCAGGTTTTCTTAATGAATCTCTTTCCAGATACTCTTGGCAGTAAATTGGATTTCACAACTATATATGAGTTTTTTTCTGGGTTCGATTTTAATACAATGTATGGATATTAGGAGCGAATGTACCAGTTCCTGTGGATAAGTGGGGGGGAGGGGAACCTCCAAAGGATCATAGTAACTAGAACTGAAAGAGAGGCACTTTCATTCATAAACCACTGGAGCCAAATACTGTTCTGGAGAGGAAGTGACACATTTAATTTGGCTTTATTTGGCTGAGAGGCGTTTGAAGAAAAATTAAAGGTACACAGAGTGTTAGAAATGTAATTAACTTAGATAACCTCTGCAGAGGCAGACTTGAGTTTTTTTTTTTTTTTGGATTTATAGCAGGTGAGGTCGATTCAAGTGAGAAAAAAAATGACTGAAGAATGCGCACCGTGCTAACAGGGCAGCAAAGGTCTGCGTGACAAAGTTGTCTTGAAATAGTTCAAACTGGCTCTGAGTCACTGTTACAGCTAGCAGTTTCCCAAGGGCCCTTCCAGTTGTAGAAAACCTTTTAGAAGGCCACAAGGCTATTTACATATATTTGCATTACATTTGCATTTGTTCCCAAGACCTTGCAGTCGTGGACAGGGAACTTTGAAATTACTTTAATCCCCCTCCCCTTACCTCCACTGCATTGTTTGCCTTAAACTTGCTTCTTTCCTTTCTATGCCTGGGGTCTTTTCTCCAGAATGATAGAGCAAAGGTGGGAGGCCTATCAGGTCACACTGGTGGAAACCCACCTGCCCCCAGACTGCTGACCCAGGGCCAGTCTGTAGCACAACGCCATTTAGTGAGACCTTTCTTCTGCCCTCCTGCCAAATCAGATTTTAAAAAGCTTGTAACCTGAGCAGCTCAGCTAGTCTCCCTGCCAGCCTCAGCTAAAGCAACCCAGGAAGTTTAGGCTTGAAATGTACAGGGCAGGACCCAAGCCAGTCCGGCTGGAAGCCCTTGGAGGGGAAAAGGGGAAAGAACAAGTCTTTTGTACCAGCTCCACGTCCTAGCCAGCATATGGCTTTGCCCTCGGTAGATGATACATAAACCTTAATTAAATTGAATTGCCAACTTCTGTCATTTCTCTATAAATAATCTGTCATTATGTCCTGGGTTTCTTTCCCTCCAATGTCATTTATATTCACTTTCCTCTGCCAGTTCTCTCAGTTATCACCCCAGTCTAGATCCTCCCCATACTACTTGGCACAGTGCTCTGGCACCTAATAAATAGTTGAATGAATGAATCACCATTTACTGTGTTAGTGCAATATACTCTGAGCTGGATTCTCCCACTCAAGCTACTTCTCCCTCTGAGAAACCAGCCTTCTTAAAAACACATTTTATTGTTTATCTCCCTGATGAACACCCTGCCATGACTCCCTATTACCTGTTTTATTTTCATTGACTTCACATCTCACTCACAGTTAAAGCGCAGATACTTAAAATGGCCGACAAAGCCCCACGTGACCGGGCCCCCAGCATACCACTGCACCTCTTGCTTTTTCTGTTTCAGCCACACTGGCCTTGCTGCTTCAGGTATTCTAGTGGCTCAGGGTATTGGTAGATGCTCCCTCTGTTGGGAACACTTGCCCCATGGCTATTTTTATAGCTAGTTCCTGACCTTGTCCAGGTCATCCCTTCCTCAGTGAGGCCTTGCCTGAGCACCCTATTTCAGATTTCAATCCCCACTTCTGCCCCTCTCTTTTTTCATTTTATTTATTTTGTCTACTGTCTTCACCAGTTTGAATGTACGCTCCACAAAAGGACAGAGTGTTTGTTTCATTGCTGGATCCACAGCATTAAGACAGTGCCTGGCACACAACTACTCAGTTTTCCTTTTCTGGTGGGGGTGCAAACACTGTCTGCTCCCTGGCTCGTTTCATCACTCAGTTTTAATGTTGTCTTGTCTGTCAGTATTTCTCCTGGTATTGTTGCTTTTGGTATCATGTTTTAAACATCTTTCTTACCATCAGTGTCTCATTCAATCCTTGTTGAATGAATACTAGTTTATTCCACTTTTTTTCCTGACCATACACTTGGCCATTCAACCAGTGTTTCTTAAACTTTAATAGAATCAGTCCTTCTTTAAACTTCACAAGAATCACCTGCTTATTTTGTTAAGAAAACAGATTTTGACTCAGCAGGCCTGGGATGGTGCCTGAGAGTCAGCATTCCTAACGAGCTCCTGGGTGATGTTGATGCCTCTGGCCCATCCACACTTTGAATAAGCGATATAGTGTTGCAGTTTGACATTATACCAGCCACAACTATTAAGTAGTGCTAGGGGCTCCCATTTGCAGCTTAAAGCCTCACCTCCATGAAGAGGAGGGTGGAAAAGGGATGTAGAGAGAAGGAAAAGTGAAATGCGATAGAAAACTTTAAAGGTAATTTTTTTTAAGATTAAAGAAGTATGCTCTAGGACACATTCTATCAAGCTTGATGTATTTCTAAGAGTGTAGTTTAGAACACTGATTACTAAGTCCTACCATGCTTTCATTATAAGAATTCACAAGAGAAATTTCTCTCAGGATTTAGAAACAGGAATAGTTGTGCTCCTCCTGCCAATTGATTGAATGTTTTAATCTCCAGAGTACTCCATGAACTGATGTTGTTTCTCACTGTATGTTGGCCGCAGGAAGCCTGCGACCAGAGCTGTGAGCCACATAAGCTTGTGTGCAGTCCCTCATCATCTGTGGTTTTGTCCACTAGCATGGGCTCGTTTATCTGATATTTTTCCTTTTCTGAATTTTTTCTGTCTGATTTTCTATGTTTATAAGGTTGAGATTGAAAAAAAAGTGTATGTAGAGGGATGCAGACAGACAGATAAAATCACTATCTAGGCTCTCTGGGAAATATTCACCGGGGTTAGCTTTGAGGGTTTATTAGGCAGCTACCCTTGAGGTCCCAGGAAATCCCACTGTAAAAACTTACTGGGGAACCTCCCTGGTGGCCTAGAGATTAAGTCTCAGTGCTATCACCGCTGTGACCTGAGCTCCATCCCCAGCCAGGGAGCTGACCCACATGGCACAGCAGACCTCTTTTCTCACCCACTGCTCCCCTCAGCGGTGTATTTCAGTAGATCCACCTGTTCTGCTCACCAATTTGTCTCTGGTGAGTCCTGCACTATGAGCTACACCCCAGTTCTTCCACACATAAATTATAATGCTTGTTTGAAAAAAGAAAAAGATGAAATCTTAAAAACAAAATAAAAAAAAAAAACTTTACTGGTGTGTATCCTGCTTTCCATGGATGGCTGAGAAAGTAGCAGGCAAGAAGCTAGAAAACATAGTGGAGGGCTTAAGAGGAGGCCCAGGGACCGTAGCTAAAATAATAGCTTTTGGTGAGACAAAGGCAAACATTGAAACCAACCCTTGAAAGCTGACCACAGATCTGCAGTGTCCAGAGGGGGAGGGAGGGCGAGCGCACAGTAGACAATGGTGGAGGGCTGTGGGTATACTTCAGTGGCGTGAGAGCTTCGGTGACCACATTGGGGGAGGGGGGGCGGATTCCTGTACTGTCAGAATATTAATGAGGATGTAAAACAATGGTATTTCTTTACAAAAATCTTTTTAATTATAGCTTTGCCACTGGGTGACCTTGGACAAATGATTTAACATTTTTGAGCCTCAATTTCCTCACTTATAAACTTGATTAATAACAGCTTCCTGTTATTAATTCCGGTCATTTATTCTGGCACTAATTCCTTCATTTAGTGAATATCAGGTTTCTATGTGTGCCAGGCACCTTGCTAGGTGCCAGGCACCTTGCTAGATGCCAGGATTTAGTAGTGAACAAAAAGCAATATAATTATGTTGTCAGCACTCTGAAGGAACAGGAAATGGCTGGAGGCCGGAGAAGGGCCGGACATGCTGGGTGGAGGTTAGCCTGGAGATGCTGGCCTGGCTCATCACTGAAGTGTGAGAATAAAGTGGCCACCGTAGGAGCAGGTGTTCCAGGCAGAGGGGATGGCAAGGACGAAGGTCTCAAGTGCGGAACTGCTAGGAGAGTTCAGAGAAATGAAAGCTGGCAAGGCTGGAGCATAGTCAACCAGGAGTAGAGAAGTCTGAGACCAGAGAGGGGCCAAGAGCAGGTGAAACTCAGCACAGGGCCAGTTCAATCCAAGTTAAGAGTTTGCATTTGTTTCAAGTTCAAACAGGAGAATGTCTTTAACTTATTTTTCAAAAATGTCTCCCTGGTTTCTGTATGGACAGAGGATTGAA